AATTTTTATCAGTGTACGTAATCCTACGTAAACTGCTCAACATGCGGACTTTGCATTGCAATATCTCCACTCATGGGGCACGTAGGAGAAAAGTAAAAACACTTTTATTATGCAAATCGTACCCAAGCTATCGATTAAGCGCAGTCTCAAGTTCGTCGGATCAGCCGTTGTTGAGATCCGAAATTCTGAGGGCCCGTCAACTCGCGTATTCGCGTAAACTACACGGTCGGTGTCGCGCGCGTGGTTAGGTTTGTCGCTTATACTTGGCGCGAGACACTACCGTGTCTCGTGATAAGTCTGAATTTATGAACTTAATGCAACAACTTTTGTCTTATTAATTATCATATGTATAGGCACAAGGATATCGATTATACGAGTATAATGGAAAAATAAAAATAGCAATAATAAGAAACGAGAATATAAGAAATAATAGAAAGGAAAAATTAAAAAGAAAGAAGCAAAACTATGCCATGATATTTTTTCTACACAAAATTCTCTTCGTAATTGTTAAGCTCGTACTGTGAATTAAATAGACTGCGTCACTGGCGTCTCGCTGTCGCCGACGACTTGGATAGGCGCCACGACGTCGGGCGTCTCTTGCTTCCCCCTAGCTTTCCCCTAACTTCCCCCGTTTTACATCATATATCACATTGAATGTGTATACGTATTGATTATTTTTGGGAATCACAAATTTATATACGTTTTACCAATTATCAATTTATTGTCAAAATAAAATTTTGAAATTAAATTACAACTTTCAAAGTTTCACTTATCATCTTCAATTTTATTGATGAATATTCAATGGATTTGTAAAAAAAATGACATTAAATTATTGGTTTAACTGTACAATATATTATATATTAAAAAACAAAGTGTTATGCCCCGATTTTATTAGCGAATAAATTGTAATAAACAGATGGCATTACTAAATTAGCGAAACCTTATCGATCGTGGGATCCGTTTATTACAATTTATTCGCCGACAAAATCAGGGCATAACAGCTTTATTTAAAATCTTAAAATAACTTTTTGTGCTTTAATATTTTGTGCATATGTACATAAACCCACATACGTATATGTATTTTATTAATAGGTCTAAAGACTATATATGTAACAATAAAATCAGTTCATTAATACAAAGAAAATATGCACATAATTGCATATTAAAAATATATAATTTCATATAACAGTTTGCACACTTTATTTAAAAAGCAAATATAGGTCGCACTGAATATGCAATTTTCTTAAAACAATTAATTAATTTTATTATTCATTATTCTGCGCACAAATTAAAATGAGATTATTCGAAATTTTTATGTGTACATGCACATGTATCTGTGCGCATGACATTTTGTTTTTATTAATTCAAATGTCAGAATAAAATAAAAAATATTTTGTAAAATATTGATTTGTTACACAGACTGTTACACAAAGGAATTAATTTATTATATAAAAATATTTTTAAAAAGTGCAATAGTATTTTCTCATTATATTTTTGCACTTATGAAAAAATAAGTTATTTTATAAGAAGATTTATCTACTGCATCTTATTATATCGTCAAATTGGTTTCTCTATCATTTTTTAAAATTCATTTTTTAAATAAAATTTGTAATTTATGCCAATTGCATGACTCATCTTATATGGAATGATTCAAAACAGTACCAACAATGTCTAAAACTTGACAGAGAATGACAAACTAAGCACTTTTCAAGCAAACCATCTCTCTAAAATTATTACGTTTCGCCATTACATACTATTTTCATTAGTCGTATTAAAAGCGTTTTGAAATTAGAGTTTCAAAAAAGCATTTAGATTAATAATAGATTTAATTGCAACTTTAGATTTGATTTTCATGTGATGTATATCACACACCCAACACACACATGTACACGCACACACACACAATTTTATTATTACATTGTTATATAACATTCATATACACCTTTCATTCTTTTAAAACAAAGTAAATATTAAAATTACATTTGAGAAATAGTAGAAAAATACTATTTAGTGCGGTTTTCTTCTAAATTTTTCTAAAAAAAACTAATAAAATAGTTTTTCTAATTGTAAAAGTAATATTGTGCAGTGTTAAATATAATCAAACACATAAAATAACATGTTTGTATACATCGCGCGCAGAAAAAACCATGCTCCATATGAAAGAGAAGCGAGTGGAATCCAGGAAGCGGGTGGAATCTGCGCATCGTACGCGTTACGGAAAAGCTTGGCGAACAGTACAGAGTAAAATGTCAGTAGAGATCTAGAGTAGGAGAGGATAGTGGGGTAACGTAGGGTGAAGGACAGGAACTCACGATCAGTCTGTCTACAGTGTTTACCCAACGACAAACTCTCTGTCTCTTTCGGCGAACGCTACCCTCTAAATTGTAGAATTTATATTATTATTATCGAAAGACAAGTTGCATAATCAAAAAGGCGAGATGCCTCGAATAATTGGGATATTGTTCCTCACTTCAACCTTCATCATAGCAGTTCATTCAGGTAATGTTATTTGACTTATAGTAATCAGGGCTGGGTAGTATCTAGTTAAAAAGAAAAAAGTTAAGTTAAAAAGTTAAATAATTTTAACTTAACTTAATTACATTATAGACTGTTAATTTTTAACTGAATTTAGTTACATTTTATCGGTAACTTTTAACTTTTAATTTACCTCTTTCTTAGGCTCGGTTTTTCTTATTTTTGTTAACTGTTAACCGAAGGTTAATCAATTCTTTATCTCGTTTTAGATAATAATATAAAGAAAGATAGAGAGTCGATTAACTTGTAGTTAACAATTAACCAGAAGTTAGTCGACTCTGCATCTTTTTCTATGTTATTATCTGAGAAGAGACAAAAAGTCGACTAACCTCTAGTTAACAATTAACCAGAGAGTATATAAATATAAATATATATATACAATATATAAATTTATATAGAGTTCTAAACAACTTGATAATGTCATGTATATATTATAACATTAATGGGTCTAATTATATCTAATTATATATATTTATATGTACAACAATTTAATATATTGTCATAAAAGGATCATAAGCGAAATGATTCATATAAAAAATCAGACAAATGGAATTAATTCTCATAAAGACACGGAGAATTTTAATGCCTCCTACACTGAATTTCTACATACACGAGACCCGTACGCAATTCTAGAGTCCAAATGTAAGCACATACTCTTCAGTAAAATAATTTTAATACCTTGTTAAATAAAAAGCTTGTTAAACTTGGCCTTAATTATATGTCGTTATTTTGAATAGAACACAAGCGATACTTTATTAATAAAAATAAAACGTAATTAATGTACTGTATGTATATAACAGAATAAACATTGTGTTTTAATTATTCACATAAAATATAGAAGACAAAATTTTGATAACTTTTGCAGTGCTATTAGATGAGTATTGTCCTATTTCTGATACGCACATTATTGATTGTGAGATTGAATGCCACCCTCCTTAGTTACGAGCGTCTGTTGATGTAGTACGTAACGCGTGGGGTACACAAAGCGCGAGCAGTAAGACAGTGGAAGAAGAAAGTAGTGAGCATAAATAGCGAAATCAAAACCTGCAAGCAAATATAATAAGCATTAATCTAAATGTGTTAAAACATTTTTACTAAGAATAAGTACGAGCTCGTCTTTATTTAAAAAAGAGTCTAGGAAATTAAGGCCAATGTGTTTACGAGCGATAAGTAATATGATAAAGTCGATGTTTAATTACTAAAATTCAGTGAGCAAAGTTCCATGGAATACATGAATTCGAAGTATAATACGAGGTAACGCTTTTCCTCTCTTAACCCTAGGTTTAGTTAAAATTAAATATAAAATTTGATAATAAATAACAGATATTAAATAACGAAATTTGTAAATAATTAACGGATAATAAATAACTAACGGACGACGTTTCGACTATACTAAGTCTTCTTCAGCGTGTAAGTATCCTATAATAATGACATAATTGTTTTTGTATGATTATAAATCTTAAAACGCACGTGTAGAATATTAGGAATTACTTGAATGTGATAGCGAGGTTCTTTGTCCTGGTCAGGTCCGAGTCGTATTGCACATTAGTACGTATGAATAAGTTATTCGCTTGGTGGACTTAGCGATTTTGTAGGACGATCTGCATCGCTGTGATGTTCCTCTTGTCAAGTATTTAAAACGACTAAGTCGATATTCGAGTCTTCTCCTGTGTTGGTGTATGATGTGGGGGTCGTTTTAAATACTTGACAAGAGGAACATCACAGCGATGCAGATCGTCCTACAAAATCGCTAAGTCTATCAAGCGAATAACGTATTCATATAACGTACTAATGTGCAATACGACTCGGACCTGACCAGGACAAAGAACCTCGCTATCACATTCAAGTAATTCCTAATATTCTACACGTGCGTTTTAAGATTTATAATCATACAAAAACAATTATGTCATGTTATTATAGGATACTTACACGCTGAAGAAGACTTAGTATAGTCGAAACGTCGTCCGTTAGTTATTTATTATCCGTTAATTATTTACAAATTTCGTTATTTAATATCTGTTATTTATTATCAAATTTTATATTTAATTTTAACTAAACCTAGGGTTAAGAGAGGAAAAGCGTTACCTCGTATTATACTTCGAATTCATGTATTCCATGGAACTTTGCTCACTGAATTTTAGTAATTAAACATCGACTTTATCATATTACTTATCGCTCGTAAACACATTGGCCTTAATTTCCTATATTCTTTTTTAAAACTTTTTTATTCCAGGGAAAATATGTACTTAATGCTTCTATTATATACAGGTGTATTCTAATTCGCGCCCACCATTTATATAGTGATATTTCTCATGAAAAACTGAGTCGAAGAGTCCCGAACCATTTTTTCGAGTCACGCCTCACAAAGTAGTTATTATTATTTAAAAATTAGCGAATCCGCATTGCTTTTTAAATGAACGCACGTTCGTGAGCCACGCGTCTACTAGTGTGCGTGAGTGAGTCGCCGCGCGCCTCAGCGTTGCCACGGCCGCGTTCACGTAGCTCCAAAATAATCAATAATTGCTTTTTGCAATGAGCATGATATTTTGTATCCAGGAAGCATCTTTTTAGATTACAATTTAATATTAGTTGTACTTTCACATAAGAAAATTGTAAAATGAAATAACTGTGGTGATAGTGCCCCCTGTTCCGCCGTCATCCGAGTTCCGATTTGACCAAGATGATTTTTTAAGTTAATTTTTTCACTATCAAAAATAAAATTTTAAATCTCCACGCTCACGCACACTAGTAGACGCGTGGCTCACGAACGTGCGTCCGTTTAAAAAGCGATGCGGATTCGCTAATTTTTAAATAATAATAACCCAAATAGCACAAAAACGTTCCATTAACATTCTAGGAATATACGCCAAGAACATTCGAAGATTCCAGGAATGTTCTAATAGTCGTTTTATACGTTCGAGGTATATTTATAGAATGTACCAACGGAGCACTTCAAAAGTTCTAGAAACATCTCTAGAATGTTCATCTGAATGTGCTACGAATGTACACGAATGTACTGCAAATATTCTAGTAAT